CTGTTCCCGACACATCCATTCTCACCCAACTGTTATTACCCCAAACACCAGTAATTCCCTTGAATGACAAAACCATGTATTTAAACCATTAATAACAGAAACCCATTAATTTCTCATCTGAAATTTGTCAAACTTCTGTTTCCATAAAAAGCCATATACTGAGGTATTTTAACAGATTGTGATAAAGTCATGTAAATCCTTCTCTTAGGAAAACTGAACTGAGTTTTTCAGCATTTCAATGTGGCCACGGTTTTCAGGCCTCGTAATATTTTTGCTATTCTTTTGTGAACCACAAGTGGTGTCTGTATTTCCTATGGAAACAGAGAAGCCAGGACTTCACCTCAAAACACCCCATTTTTCCATTCAAAGGTACCTTCAGTGACTGCAGAGAGTCTGCATTTGTATCACAGTAGAGGATAATGTTGTTAGCCATGCTGAAGCTCTCCCTGACTCCCAGGTGGTAGAACAGGGAAGGCTGACGGAAGGCGTCACTCATCTCTACGACAGCAATATCTGTAGAAATAAATGAAAAATTGTCAACTTTTCTGACAGCTAAATGCTTCTATGCCATGTCTCTTCACACAATTTGCTTTGATAAGAAAGCCCAATTTTAAGTAGGAAATGAGATATCTAGAGGGATTTCCCCATTTTAGCTGTTATGTCTGAATTTTGAATATAGTCAGCAGGATGTGGTTTAATCTTTTTCTCATTTCTTTCTTCCTTCCGTCCTCCCCCTTTTTTTCTTTAAATGAGACCTTCATTTCCTCAGGTAAAAACATCACTAATCAAGAAAAGGCAAAAAGTTCATTTGGTGCCTTGGAGAATAAAATCTGTTTGGTTAATCTACACATGATTATTGATGACCTTATGGAATGAAAAAAAAGAAAAAATTACATTGGATATGTATTTTCAACCTCTGTGCCAGATGCAATAAAAAATTCATGCAATATATTTACATCAATGCAGAACATACTGTATAGATTCTGTATTAGAACTTTGGAAGGAAACAGCTGTAAATTGAGAGAAAGGCAAAAGTAAATTTCCAATATAAATTACCATTCAGATCTATTTTGATTCGTATAGAAAGATGAGAGAGAAAAGGACAAGAGAAGGAAAGAGCGAGTGAATAAGTAAAGCCAGAGAAACCCCCCATATAAGTAAGAACTTTATTGTGCGGAGAATTCTGTTCATAGTAAGCTCTACCTGCGTGAATACAATTAAGCATGTGCACAAATGTTTACAGAACAGGGAATGTAGTCCACAATTTCTCTTAAAATGTGTGTTTCACTTGCCCAGATTCACACCAAAGTAAAACAAGAGGCAATTACAAAGTGTCAGCAAAAAATAGTAAAGGCTTCTATTATAACAGGCAGCATATTTCCACTGCAAAAAGACTTGTGGGATTAAGAGAGCAAAAGAAAACTGACTCATCTCCACCTCGACTGCAAACATCTGTCTGTCTCCTCACCCAATTCAGTTTTTTCTTTTCTTTCAGATTTTTTTTGTTTTTCCCCAAGAAATGTACTTCTGTTAAGAGCAGAACAAAAAAAAGCAGCCTGGTTTCCAGTGTCTCTCCCTGCTCTCCCCTTCCTGTGGATGCTTTTATGACAGAAAAGAGATAGCAAGACAAGCTCTGCAGGCAGAAAGCTTACATACCCTCAAGTTGTTCCACTCTAATGGATCTAATAAGAGATTCTACCTCTAACCACAAGTTTTCACCTTGCCGATTTAATTAGATCATCACAACCGTAATGAAGATATTCAATAAAAGATAAGCCTTGTGGCCATGCTCTCAACTGGGAAGGCAGCAAGGGTGTCTCTCCAACTTGTTGAAAAGTATCATCTCTGAGACATGTACTCTTCAGTCATACTTTACTGTTACTGGCCTACAGGCTTAGAAATTATTAAAAAGCTGAAAAAAGGATAGATACACACAGGGGCATGAACAGACAACATTTACCTATACAAGCTTAGGCTCTTCAAGAAACAAAATTGAAAGAGAGGTGACCAACATGGTATAAAAAAAGGGAAATTTTCCCCATCAAATATAATTTTAAATTATGTTTTCTACAAATTTTGTAATTTGTGTTCTAAGAATCTCCCTCTGTCCAATTTCATATAAATATTTCAGTGTAGATTCCATCAAATATCATCAAATCGAAGTAAAAAAGGCAGTGCATTGCTAAGACCATACATATGCTGACTTTCCTTAATTTTAGGAAACTGAGATGTTACAAAAGCCAAACATGAATGACAATATTGCTACTATATCTTGTTTGGGTGAGATTAGGGCTTGTTTGTTTATTTTCTTTAGGAAGTTGACATAATACGAGCTCTATTTTTAACTACACTTATTCATACGAAATTCTAATCTTGAGCAACTGTAGGTCTATAGTACACTGAGCAGAAGGAAAATTTGCGCAACTTGCCATGATTTAATTCTTAAATCTTGCAAGATAACACACTCTCATTAGAGTTGCAAAACTAAGATTAAAAGAGAAATATTACTTAAAGAAAAATAAAGTGATAGACCCTGATCAAAGTCAGAATACAGAAAATACTCGAGAAATGTTCTGTTAAAATGCGAAGTTCCCAGGACCATGAAGAAGGAAAGAATAACTCTTAAAAAAAATTATATACATATGTGTGTGTGTGTATATATATATTACTGTTAAGATCAGCTGGCCAAATCTATTTAACACAGCTGACTCAGGGCCACACTGTTAAAAATGTTCTTGGGTCTTGTCCTATTCTTATCATAGCAATAAAAACAAACAAACAAACAAACAAACGCCTTGAGTTGCTTAAACAGAGGAGGGAAGGACCACAAGAATAAGGAAACATTTGTAAGAAAAATTACACTAAGATACTGATATAAAACTCTGTTGTGATGCTTGTATTTCTGATGTAACTAAAGAGGATCTCTTTCCTTCACATGTTAAGACTTCTGAGAAATTCAGGCCTTTTGAATAGCCTCATTTGATAAAGCAGTATCTTCCTTAGAATAGTCCAACTTCTACAAAGTTTTCCTCGTTGCTCTAGCAGCTATGTATTTTAAGATTGGGCTGGGTTTGGCTGGGATAGAGCAGTGGAACAGGTGCACCTCGAAGTGGCTGTGGCTGTGGATAAGCCTATGCCACAGCAGGTGTACCCCTGGAGAGACTGTGGCTCATGGATAAGGGTCCACTTGGAGCAGGTACACCCCTAAAGGACTGCAGTTGGTGGACAAGTCCCAGTTGGAGCAGGGGCAAGGGGAGGAGTTCATTGTAATGTTAAACCCAATGGTCTGGTCCGAAGGGACCAGGGGTGGAGATTGTAATGGAAATACCTTTAAATTGTTGTAACCCAGGATTTGAGTTGCATGTTATAGGAATTACTATAGCAGGAAACACCTGAACCAATGGAGAACAAGCCTTACAAGAAGCAGTGCAAGTGCAGCAGTGACCTGACCTGAGCTGGTTTTGGTGCCCAGTAACTCCATGGAACTCCCCTGTCCTGAGGGACCACCATAACAGATGGAGCCCAAATGGGCTAAATGAACTCAACAGACATTTTGTAGATATTTGTGGACATTTTATGGACATTTTACAAGGGTGATCCATAGACTAAGGGAATGATATCTGCATATTATATCAAAGGATGAGAAGGAGGGGGTGGTTAATGAGGTTATATTGGTACCTGAGCATGACGTAAATGGTATGGAATAAGGGGTGGAAAATGTGCTGGGTTTGGTTGAGATAAGAGTTAATTTTCTTCATTGGAGCTGGTATGGGGCTGTGTTTTGGATTCGTGCTGAAAACAGTGTTGATAACCCAGGGATGTTTCTGTTACCGCTGAGCGGTGCCTAACACAGAGCCAAGGCCTCTTCTGCTCCTCACCCCACCGCACCAGCGAGGGGCTGGGGGTGCACAAGGAGTTGGGAGGGGACTTTGCTTGTGTGTGTGGCTTTTCCTTTATTTATTAAACTGCCTTTATCTCATGTCAGGAGAAGGGGGGGAGTGGGGAAAAGAAAGGGAGGGGGGGGGGGGGGGGTGGGGGGACACGCAACATATATGTTTGGAGTGATGGCTTTGTCCTCCCAAGTAACCGTTATGCATGATGGAGCCCTGCTGTCCTGGGGATGGCTGAACACCTGCCTGCCCATGGGAAGTGGTGAATGAATTCCCTGTCTTGCTTTGCTTGCGCACACGGCTTTTGAACTGTCTTGAACCTAGTTAACTGTCTTTATCTCAACCCACCAGTTTTCTCACTTTCACTCTTCTGATTCTCTGCCCATCCTGCCAAGGGGGAGTGAGTGAACGGCTGCGTGGGGGTGAGCTGGTGGGGTTAAACCACGACAAAGATGAAGTTATTATTCATGACAAAGAGATCAGAGTTCTGAAATCCAGGTTAGCCCTCAGGGCTGGTATCACAGTTTCCAAGGGGTACAGCCAAATTCTTACCTGCAATTCCAACACGCCATCAAACTTATGTGCACTTTTGGGACCACATGTCTACCTAATAAAAACCCCTATACCCTAAATCAGCTCTTCTGACAGACCCATTACTGACTATCTTCTTTCACAACATCAGGACAGAAACTCCCCTGACCAAAGGAGGGAACAGTGCGTGGAGCACCAGTCAGAAGTCGAATACAAAGCACCAAATGGAAGCTCATTAAAAAAAAACAAACAAAAAAAACCTTAACTATGTTTAGTTCCATAAAGTATGATTAGAAGTTTAGCAAAGCTGAGCAAGACTTAGATTTGTCTTGAAAACCATCAGTCAAGTAAACATACATCAAAATTCTCACTAGTTCAGCAGAGCCAGGATTTAGCTAAACCCAAAAGAACTGTTTGGTCATCAATACATTAACTGCCAGAATCCCTTTTATCAGACTCTCACTCTCATTTCCCAAGACAAAATGAATCGAACAGCCTGCTGCAATGAAAGATATGTTTTCTGTTCACTGAAATTGTATTTTCCAAGTGGTAAAATGGTATTTCAATAATAGTGGAAGAATGATCTCTACCGTTACACTAGAATAAACCCCACTTAAAGTATTTGTGGTTTCAGTTTCAAGGAAAGTAAAACAAGAATTGACCAAGCACAGGAGTCAGAGTAGAGCCCTCTCAACACCTAAGCCCTCAGGATGAAGCACTCTGAAGACGAGGGACTGGCAATTCACTCCAAATGCTGTTGCACATCTTCTATGTAACAGCAAAGGAAGTCTGCTCAGGCTCCCGCAGACTAATGGGGAGGGCGGCTATGGAAGCACACTGCGCAAAGCAGCAGCAAGAGACAGGGAAGTGGAAGAACTGTAATTCTTGCAACCACACAGATTGCAGGAAAGAATAAATTTTATCCCTTACTTTGGTTTTGGGCACAAGATTAAACTTTGCTTTCTCTACCTCATGAAAACAGACCTGGTAACAGATCAGTGATAGTATTTAAAGAAAACCAAGGACAGTATGGTCTTTGCCTTTGCTAGTCATCTTCGACATTACGGCTACAAAGTCTTGTAACAAATCTTACAGTACATTATTATGCCTTGATAGATTATGAA